GGCGCCGCCACCTCGCCGGGCTAAGTTTTTCTGTATTTTTAGTAGAGGATGGCGGTTTCACCGTGTCGTGGCCAGGATGGGTCCGATCTCCTGACCGTCGTGTCCACCCCGTTCTCGGGCCTCCCAAGATGCTGGATTACACTTGAGCCACCCGCCCCCACAATCAGTTTTAAAAGTATAAAGAGCCAGGTTGTGGTGGGCTACACAGTGTGAATCTTAGCACTGTTGGGAGGGCTGAAGTGGGTGGATCACTAAGGGTTAGCAGTTCAAAGACCAGCCTGGCCACATGGTGAAACCCATCTCGGTGAAGAATACAAAAATTAGCTGAGTACTGGTGGTGCACGTCTGTAGTCCAGCTACTTGGCGGAGGCTGAGGCAGCGAGAATTGCTTGAATCTGGAAGGCGGAGGTTGCAGTGAGCTGAGATCATGCCGCTGCACTCCAGCCTGGGCAACAGGAGCAAGAACTCCATCGTTGGGGGGAAAAAAAAGGGTATAAAGAGATTTCTAGCATGTGCAGAAGCTGAAGCTGGCTGGTTCTGAGGAGATGACAGAATTAGCTGTAAGAAATCAGAACAAAATGCACAAATCTGGGGCAAGAGGAAACCACCCCTAGCTGGTTATAGAGGGAGAAGAGGCTTGCCACTAGGAGGAGTAAGTACGCCAAGTAAGGAAACGAACGGAGATTTCGCCTAGAGATTTATTATAATCTGGTTTCTTCTTTGGCTTTTTGCTCTTCCACTACTGCACACATAATAAGAGGATGTTCTATAATCTCCATTCTTCTTCGCCTTTGTTTTGCGCATACAGCAGCACATACTCAAGATAATCAGAGTGGCCCTAAATCACAGAGGATTATGAATACATATCAGTAAGAAAAGATCCGAGCCCCTACCATGCTACCCCTTGCGCTGACCTGATTGTGGATGTGAGCGCCATAGTCAAGTGCCTAGAAGGAAGACAGCTTGAAGGACGACCCTTAATAAAGTAGGCTTCTAGGAAAGTTCAGAGGTGTCAGAGGAACTTGGTGCATCAGCCAAAGCGCTGACAAAGGCCTAGGCGGCTAGCTTCCAGAACAACTGGAAAAATGCCACAAGCTGCCCTTCCCAGCTTTGCTGTAGTAGAAAGTTAATTACTGTTGCGTCCACACTGTCAGAATCATCTAGAGGAAAAAAAAAAAAAAAAAGACAAAAGCACTGTAGACCCTGCAAAGCAGGAACATTTGTGTTAACAAATAAACTGCTCCCCTCCCTCCTCGCTCTCCAGTTTTCTTTTTGTGACTTTTCCTAAACTACCAACCGTAGGAGGCTAATACTAATATGAAGGTTTTAACTTACTTTGGATATTAAGTAAACCAATGCTACTTTGTCTTACATCAATAGTTTCCAGTTTTTTTTTTTTTTTTTTTTGAGACAGGGTCTTGCTTCATCACCCAGGCTGCAGTGCAGTGGCGTGATCTCAGCTCACTGCAACCTCTACCCCACAGTCTCAAGTGATCCTCCCACCTCAGCCTCTTGAGTAGCTGGGGTTATACGCTACCATGCCTGGCTAATTTTTGTATTTTTGGTAGAGACAGGGTTTTGCCCGATTGCCCAGGCTGGTCTCAAACTGCTGAGCACAATCAATCCACCTGCCTTGGCCTCCCAAAGTGCTGGGATTACAGGCGTGAGCCACCACACCCACCCTAGTTTCAGAATTTTAATTAATGCTATTGCTCCTTACAGCTGTAAAGATGCTCGGCAGGGCCAGGTCTTCTCTAGGATGGAGAAACAGCGGGGGAGATGGAAAGCAGGAGGGTCTTGCTAGGGTTTTCTAAAGTCTGGAGAAGAATATTAATTAGCCTTCTTGGGCCAGGCACAGTGGCTCACACCTGTAATCCCAGCACTTTGGGAGGCCAAGGAGGGTGGATCACCTGAGGTCAGGAGTTCAAGACCAGTCTGGCCAACATGGCAAAACCCTGTCTCTACTAAAAATACAAAAATTAGCCAGGCGTGGTGGCGGGCGCCTATATTCCCAGCTACTCAGGAGTCTGAGGCAGGAGAATCGCTTGAACCCAAGAGGCAGAGGTTGCACTGAGCTGAGATCAGGCTACTGCACTTCAGCCTGGGCAACAGAGCGAAACTCCTCCCCCATGCCCCCCCAAAAAGAATATTAGCCCTCTTGGATCAAATTCAAATTTGGTTAACAGGCACTGAGAACTACTGTGTGCTAGGAACTGGGATAGGAGCTCTCTGGTGGGTTAATTTTAAGGGCTACAAAGAAACTGAAGGGTTGAGGGGAAGGCTTTACTTACGTCCAAATCATCCATGGCAGGTGGAGGTCTCTTGGTGCTGACCTTCTGCAAAAGCTAGTGGGAAGAAAAAATAACCATAAGGGAGAAGGGAGTGAGGGAAGAACAATCTGCACACTGATGGGCCATAGAAGAATGGCTGCAGCCAGACCGGTCAGGCAACTGCTCCCATCTTTAAAACACCACTGGAATGAATTTGAGAAAAGTAAATTGATCCCCTTCTTTAAAAAATTTAAACACAAAGACACACACAGAGCATCCTCCTTACAAATCCATCCTCCTTACAAGATTGGAATCGGCCAGTGTTTTTATAACTGAAACCAAATAATATAACGATACAGTGTGTGATTTATTGGGAGCCAATGATTTATGATGTGAATTTTTATACTGCTAGTTTTAACTTCCCACGAAGTTGTCTGGCTCAAGAACACACACACACACACAGGCCAGGTTTGGTGGCTCACATTTGTAATCTCAGTACTTTGGGAGGCTGAGACAGAGGAGGCTGAGGCTAGGAGTTCCAGACCAGGCTGGCCAACATGATGAAACCCCATCTCTACCAAAAATACAAAAAAAAAATTAGCCAGGGGTGGTGGCGCATGCCTGTAATCCCAGCCACTCAGGTGGCTGAGGCACAAGAATCGCTTGAACCTGGGAAGTGGAGGTTGCAGAGAGCTACTGCACTCCTGCCTGGGAGACAGAGCAAGACTCCGTCTCGAAAAGAAAACCACACACACAGGACGGGCACAGTGGCTCTCGCCTGTAATCCCATCACTTGGGAGGCTGAGGCAGGTGGATCACCTGAGGTCAGGAGTTCGAGACCAGCCTGGCCAACACGGTGAAACTCGGTCCCTACTAAAAAAATACAAAAATTAGCCAGACGTGATGGTGGGCACCTGTAATCCCAGCTACTCAGGAGGCTGAGGCAAAATTGCTTGAACCCAGAGGCAGAGGTTGCAATGAGCTGAGATCGTGCCATTGCACTCCAGCCTGGGTGACAGAAAACCATACACACACACACACACACACACACACACACACACACAGAAAATAGGAGAACAAGAATTACAGAAAAGTGGAAAAAGCTTTTGTCAAACTTCTTCAGAATACAGGCTCCACATTGAATAAGTGAATCAATGTGTATATAATTTCAATAATATTCTTTCCTCTCATCCCTATTAAATAAACATTGCACAAAATAGGTAAAGAACATCAGCATCAATGCGTAACCTGCCTAGAGAGCTTGCATATCTCTGCGTGGCCCCAGTGACAATCCTCCAGAGACATGTGTGCAGAGAAACACAAAGAATGATCAAGTGAGCAGAATACAGCAGGTACTCTCTCTTACCTCTGCATAATGTTCCACCTGAGCCAGCTCCACCTCTTCATCTCCTTCCCAGTCTCTCCAGTTATCAAAGTCCACAGACAGCCACACTGGCTGCAAGAAGAAGCTCCAAGAGTCACAGGCCCAGAGGGCAGGAGCAGGAGTGTGTGGGAGAGTGTGAGCATATGCATGGGAGCACACTTGGGGAAAAGAGGGTCGGTAGGTCCATAGTCTTCCCAACTGCACCCCTTTGACCAGCCCCCTTCAGGTTCCCATGTCATCATCATCATTCACAAAGATTTACCATGAACCTGCTAATCTACACACAAAGCTAGGCATGATAGGGTCTGAAAATCTCAGAAGTCCTACCCTCCAGCCAGGCATGGTGGCTCATGCCTATAATCTCAGCACTTTGGAAGGCCAAGGCAGGAGGATCACAAGGTCAGGAGTTTGATACCAGCCTGGCCAATATAGTGAAACCCCGTCTCTACTAAAAGTACAAAAATTAGCCGGGCATAGTGATGGGTGTCTGTAGTCCCAGCTACTTGGGAGGCTGAGGCAGGAGAATCGCCTGAACCCAGGAGGCAGAGGTTGCAGTGAGCCAAGATCATGCCACTGCACTCCAGCCTGGGTGACAGAGCAAGACCCCATCTCAAAAAAAAAAAAAGAAGAAGAAGGCTGGGCATGGTGGCTCACGCCTGTAATCCCAGCACTCTGAGAGGCTGAGACAGGTGGATCATGAGGTCAGGAGTTCAAGACCAGCCTGGCCAACATGGTGAAACCCCATCTCCCTATTAAAAATGCAAAAATTAGCCGGGTGTGGTAGTGGGTGCCTGTAATCCCAGCTACTCGGGAGGCTGAGGCAGGAGAATTGCTGGAACCCGGGAGGTGGAGGTTGTAGTGAGCTGAGATCGCGCCATAACACTCCAGTCTGGGTGACAGAGCAAGACTCCGTCTTAAAAAAAAAAAAAAAAAAAAGAAGGAGAAGAACTCCTACCCTCCAGGAGCCAATTGACTGAAGAGACAATACATCTAGAAAGATAATTGTATCATAAAGCAACATAGGAGTCAACCAACAAGACAGACATGCTGCAGCCAGGCGCAGTGGTTCACACCTGTAATCCCAGCACTTTGCAGGGCCAGGGTGGATGGATCACCTGAGGTCAGGAGTTCAAGACCAGCCTGGCCAACATGGTAAAACCCCATCTCTACTAAAAATACAAAATTAGCTGGGCATGGTGGCACATGCCTGTAATGCCAGCTACTTGGGAGGCTGAGGCAGGAGAATCACTTGAACCTAGCAGGTGGAAGCTGCAGTGAGCTGAGATCGTACCACTGCACTCCAGCCTGGGCAACAAGAGTAAAACTCTGTCATGAAAAAAAAGAAAAAAGACAAGCTACATTCCATGGAGTCAGAGACAACCCTTCAAGGTCCATTTTTCAAAGTTTCCACATTTATACAGGGAAGAAGTTATTCACTCCTTCATTCAAAAGATATTTATTGGTCAGGTGCAGTGACTAACACCTGTAATCCCAGCATTTTGGGAGGCCGAGGCAGGTGGATCACTTGACATCAGGAGTTTGAGACCAGCCTGGCCAACATGGTGAAACCCCAGGTTGGAGTGCAGTGGCATGATCTCGATTCACTGCAACCTCCACCTTCCGGGTTCCAGTAATTCTCCTGCATTAGCCTCCAGAGTAGCTGGGATTACAGGCACGCGCTACCATGCTTGGCTAACTTTTGTATTTTTAGTAGAGACGGGGTTTCACCACGTTGGCCAGGCTGGTGTCAAATTCCTGACCTCGTGATCTGCCCACCTTGGTCTTCCAAAGTGCTGGGATTACAGGCGTGAGACACCGAACCTGGCCCCCGCCTTTTTTTTTTCCTTTTTTTTGAAACGGAGTCTCACTCTATTGCCCAGGCTGGAGTGCGGTGGTGAGATCTCAGCTCACTGCAACCTCTGCCTCCTGGGTTCAAGCAATTATCCCGCCTCAGCCTCCTGAGTAGCTGGGACTACAGGCTTGCACCACCATGTCCGGCTAATTTTTTGTATTTTTAGTAAAGATGGGGTTTTACCATGTTGGCCAGGCTGGTCTTGAACTCCTGACCTAAAGCAATCCACTCACCTCAGCCTCCCAAAGTGCTGGGATTGTGAGCCACCTCTCCCAGTCTCCCATTTTTCAACAGAAGCTTATAGTCTGGATTTTTACAAGATGCACATTTTTAAATGTTAGCAACTAATAAAAAATTTTTAACGTCAGTAATGAGTCAAAATATTTTCTTTTTTTTTTTTTTTTTTGAGATGGAGTCTCACTCTGTTGCCAGGCTGGAGTGCAGTGGTGCAGTCTCAGCTCACTGCAACCTCCGCCTCCTGGGTTCAAGCAATTCTCCTGCCTCAGCCTCCCAAGTAGCTGGGATTACAGGCATGCGCCATCATGCCCGGCTAATTTTTGTATTTTTAGCCTAGCCTTAAAATAATTTTTGACAATGTAAAGATTAAAACAGACTAGGCAGGGTGGCTTACGCCTGTAATCCCACCACTTTGGGAGGCCGAGGTGGGTGGATCACGAGGTCAGGAGATCAAGATCATCATCCTGGCTAACACGGTGAAACCCATCTCTACTAAAAATACAAAAAATTAGCTGGGCGTGGTGGCAGGCACCTGTAGTCCCAGCTACTCAGGAGGCTGATGCAGGAGAATGGCGTGAACCTGGGAAGCAGAGTTTGCAGTGAGCCGAGATCACGCCACTGCACTCCAGCCTGAGTGACAAGAGCGAGACTCCATCTCAAAAAAAAAAAAAAAAAAAAAAAAAGATTAAAACAAATCTGAGAGTCAGATCCAGCTATCAGGCAGTCAGTTTTCAACCTTTAAAGAGGATACATTGGAGGGCCTTAAGTGGGAGAGTGTCAGGGTCAAATGTGTGTTTTAGACAGACCATGCTGGGGACAATGCAGAGGATGGACTGAAAATGAGACTGAAAACACCCGACAAACTTCTCACCGTATGTTGGATGAGGCTTGAACTAGGAAGAAATTAAGTAGTGAATTCATTAATATTTAGGAGTCAGTAAAGCCTGGTTATAAGCCACTAATAGCAATAATAAGATTAATCAGGAGCAGGTATGGTGGCTCATGCTTGTAATCCCAGCACCATGGGAGGCTGACGCAGGCGGATCACCTGAGGTCTGAAGTTTCAGACCAGCCTAGTCAACATGGCGAAACCTCATCTCTACTAAAAATATAAAAATGGCCAGGCACCGTGGCTCAGGCTTGTAATCCCAGCACTTTGGGAGGCTGAGGCGGGCGGATCACCTGACGTCAGGAGTTCAAGACCAGCCTGGCCAACAAGACAAAACCCTGTCTCTACTAAAACTACAAAAATTAGCTGGGCATGGTGGCGGGCACCTGTAATCCTAGCTACTCAGGAGGCTGAGGCAGGAGAATCACTTGAACCCAGGAGACAGAGGTTGCAGTGAGCCGAGTTCACGCCACTGCACTCTAGCCTGGGTGACAGAGGGAGACTCTGCCTCAAAAAAATACGAAAAATTAGCTGGATGTGGTGGCGCATGCCTGTAATCCCAGCTACTCAGGAGGTTGAGGAAGGAGAATTGCTTGAATCCGGGAAGTGCAGGTTGCAGTGAGCTGAGATGGTGCCATTGCATTCCAGCCTGGGCAACAAGAGAAAAACTCCATCTCAAAAAAAAAAAAAAAAAAAGAAAGAAAGAAAGAAAGAATAACCCTGATCAATTAATTTCTACAGTGGAAACTACTTCTGGGACTGAAATATAAAAAAACAAGAATTGGCCGAGGCCGGGTGCCATGGCTCATGGCTGTAATCCCAGCACTTTGGGAGGCCGAGGCAGGTGGATCAACTGGTCAGGAGTTTGAGACCAGCCTGGCCAACATGTTGAAACCCCGTCTCTACTAAAAATAGAAAATTAGCCGGGTGTGGTGGCGCATGCCTGTAATCACAACTACTCGGGAGACTGAGGCAGGAGAATCTCTTGAACCTGGGAGGTGGAGGTGTAGTGAGCCGAGATCATGCCATTGCACTCTAGCCTGGGCAACAAGAGCGAAACTCCGTCTCAAAAATAAAAAAAAAAATAAAAATAAATGAGAGAGACTAATACAGTTGGGGAAAAAAAGATTAGGCAGGACTTGGTGAGTGATTGAATGTTGGCTGGAAAGGAGGCAAGGACGATCCCAGCTCTAACCTGGGTGCATGGAGAGAAGGAGCAGGCCACTTTCCATACACCTACCTTGATATCCTCCTTGGTAAGCCGGGGCCAGGCCACCTTTTCCTTCCATTTCCTCACAAAGCAAGTAATAGAGCGGGAAGAGCGCTTATCCTGGGAGTCCTGCCAGATAGAGAGCCTCATTCTTAGGGTCTGGGGTTTAGAATTAATCTCCAGTTTCCCTGGGCAGCTCGGTTTCCATCCAGACCTTACTGTCCCATCTCACCCTTACCTTGGAGTTCACTTTGGCATAGAACTCAATCTCATTGTACAACTCCACTCCATCGTCATTCTTGCAGCTGAGGAGACAAGGAAGCTGAGGAGATGCAGAATACTCTGTGTGGGGACATTAGGAGAAGAGGGAGGTTCCCGGGAAGCCAGGCCCTCAGAGGGGAGGGCCACTACCTGAACACAATGCGGTGATCCTCAATAAGCACGTGGACATCGGTGCTGTCCTCAACGCAAAACTCCATGAACACATACTTGGGCCTGTCATACCACAGGGTCCGGGCGTGCTGCCTAAAGAGAAGTTGAGTTGGGGCTTCATAGGGGTGGGAGAGGGAAGACTGAGGGCATTTGGGAAAGATGGAAGCAGGAGACTACCCAGGGATGTTTGATGCCACAGTTTTTTCAAAGTGGAGCTAAATGAGACAGAAGGGGTGAAAGGGAAGGGAATGACAGGAGTGGGTGGGTGTGGTGAGTGTGAACCTGGGAAGAATAGAACGTGCCAGACTAGGAAAGTAGGAGGTCAGGGAGAACATTCAGGTCACATCTTCCTTCACCCCACAGTTACAGAGACCAGGGGTCTGGGGCTCCCATGGGGCCTCACAGAACCTGGAGCGCCCAGAAGACCTGGAGCAGGGAATCTCCAGGGAAAAGGGCCAGGGGGAGTACCGGAGCCGGAAACACTCACCGTGCCATTGCGGCTCCCGCTCCAGGGTGGCATTTAGAGTTCCAGGCAGGGGCCGCTATCTTTAGATCCTGGGGACGCCCCCAGCAGCTGCCTCCCCTTATATGGTCGGGAAAACAGTTGAGAGGAACAGAGAACATGACCTGGCAGCCAAGGGATCTGCACTCTGGAGATACTCTGGGAGAGCTTAATCCTTGCAGCCCTTCACCCTGGGGTCTTCAGAAACGCACAGACTAGGAATAGACAATCCATCTGCTGGAACCAGGGCAAAGGCTGCCCTAGACGCTACACGCAGGGAATGACTTTTCCCCGGTATCATTCACCTGTTTCTCCAAAGCTGTGTGCTCAGTGTCTGATTCACAATAGGTGCTCAATAAAACATTATTGTCCTGAATTAAATCCCCTGGGAAAGGGCACCCGCGGGGACTTCGGAACTTCAGGCTCCGCCCACCACCCCTCTGGGGTTCAGGCCAACACGCCGTTGCCATAGCAGCAGGGGGGGCGCGGCTGACGTGCTGCCGGGTTTCCGGGAAGATGGCGGCTGTCGAAGCGGCTGCAGAGCCGGTAACAGTGGTGGCGGCTGTTGGGCCAAAAGCGAAAAACGAAGAGGAGGAGGAAGAGGAGCCGCTGCCACCGTGCGAGGCGGTGCGCTGGGCCCCGGTGGGGGCGGTGGCGGAGGCCGGGCCTGGAGCAACTGCGTTTTTCGAAGAGACGGCGGCCGAGGAGCCTGGCGCGGTCCCGGGCTCCCCGCCGGATTCGCCGGGCCGGACGCTGCGGCGGCTGCGGGCAGAGCGGCGGCGGCTGGACTCGGCGCTGCTGGCGCTGTCCTCGCACTTCGCGCAGGTGCAGTTCCGCCTGCGACAGGTGGTGCGCGGGGCGCCGGCGGAGCAGCAGCGCCTTCTGCGTGAGCTCGAAGACTTCGCCTTCCGCGGCTGCCCTCACGTCCTAGGTTACGAAGGGCCTGGCGACCCCGCCAGCGATGAGGGCGATGGGCTGCCAGGAGACCGGCCACGGTTGCGGAGCGAGGACCAGGTGAGTGGTCGGAGCCGGGCCGCGAGGGATATGGGAATAGGGGGGTCGTGTGGGTGGCGATCCAGACCCGGATGATGGTGCATGAGGGGAGAAGCCTCCCCGACTCGGTTGGTGAGTACGTGTGTCGGAGACCAGGAGACTGGAGTGCGGGGCCGGCTGAAGGGCAAGAGGACAGAGGCCTGGGAAACTGAGGGTGAGCGGTGTGCACGAAAGATGTGGAGAGATGCCGGTGCATCTCACGTGATGACGTGAGGGGTAGAGGAGCGGTGAGCGAAGTGAGTCGTTGAGAGGGTAGCAGAGCAGCCAAGAGCAGTGCTGCGCCCACTCACCTTTACCTCACATATCTAAGTCTTGAACACTTATACTGCTAGAGGACCCCGACTCTGGGGATTGGGAAAATTGGCAAAGGAAAGGACAGTGAGTTGGAATCCATGGAAATTTAGGTTAACTCCCTGTCCCTGCTTTCCTGAAATCTAGGCAGTCTTTACACTTCTCTGGGTGGGAGTTTGGGTTAACAGCAGGGACTCTTAGTAACGAAAACAACCACAACTCTTACTTACGTGATACAATTTCCTAATTGGAACATTTAACGAACAGGGGAGCGTGGTATTCCGTCGTCCAGGCTGGTCTCGACATCCTGGTCCCAAGCCATCCTCGCCACCTTCAGCCTCGAGGGATACACGTGCGTTGATCCGGATGCAGGCAATAATGTTGAAATTTTTAAACTCTTCCGTCCATCTCTCTAATCATTCAGTAGGCTGAATAGGTCCCTGGTACGAGCAAGATCGGATTCAGGTGCCTACCCAAAGTAGTGAACATGTATAGAGACAAACCAGTAAAACTTTCCTACAACCTTGACATCTCTGAAGTGCCACAAATGCTGACTTTATGTGGAATAGTGATACACTGCCTTCACTTGATTATTATTGTTAGTTAATTTTTGAACGGACCTCACTCGTCACCGATAGGCCAGAGTGCAGGCAATTTCGCTTACGGCAACCTCGCCTCCTGGCTCACAGGCAACCTTCTGCCTCACCCGCCCAGTATCTGGTACACAGGTGGTGCCACCACAACCACCAGTTAAGGTTATTTTAAACAGGGTTCACGCACGTGCCAGGCAGGTCTGAACCTCCTTGAGCTCAACCGATCGGCCCTCCTTTGCCATAACCAAACGGCTGGGATTATATGACGTGCAGCCACCATAACCTGACCCGCCCTTTTTCACCTTTTTATTCTTCAAACTACAATCTACTGTGGACTTTCTCCTACACATTGGTTTAGCCAAGCAGATTATCAAGCAGATAATGATCTTATTGAATTCTGAACTGTTTCCCAGTGCAATCCGTTATGTTCCACCCTTCTCCGGTGGGAGTAAATTGTGCCGAGACCAGGTATCCTACCAATTCCCTACGCAAGAAGCACCCCCCACCTCAAAACTGACAGATTAAGGCAACGATAAGGAGGACACGCACCAAAGGGTCACTGAAAAACCGGTTCATTTCACCTTTTCAGGATAATAATACGGGCCAACCCCATTTTCCCATATGTGATTATGACACAGCATGCCTGTAAGCAACATCCAGTACCCCATGAATATATACACATATTAATGTACTCATAAAAACTTAAAAAGCTAGCTGGGCCGTCGGTGCTCACCCTGTAATCCCAGCACTTGGGGCAGGCTGAGCGGGCAGATCACCTTAGTCAGGAGTGATCGAGACCAGCCTGACCAACATATAAACCCCGTCTCTACTAAAAACCAAAAAAAAAAAAAGATTATTATGGCCATTCTGTAATCCCAGCTACTGAAAGAGCAAGGCAGGAAATGGCTTGAACCTGGAGGCGAGGTTGCCATGACCAAGCGATTGTGCCATCTGATAGACTCCAGCCCAGGCAACAAGAGTGATCGTCCTCAAAAAAAATAAAATAAAAAAAAAGAACCATGTGCATAGCTCATGGACGAAAAACACAGCACTTGGAAGCAAAGCTGGGGAGATCACTTGATCCCAGGATAGAGGCTCTTTGTGCTATGACTTACACTCTCCAGCCTAAGGACAAGCAACTGTGCTCAAAAAAGAAAAAAAAAAAACATTGTAGCCCACTTACAACAACAACAACACAACATGTTTAATGCACCTACAAGTTTAATCTTGTATGATAAAAACTTGCCGTGAAGTAGGCAAGTAGGGGGGGAATACCATCATGAACTGATGAGTTACTAACTAAAACACATACATTTTTTCTCTCTTTTTTTTTTTTTTTTTTTTTTTGAGACACGGGTCACACTCGTTGCCCAGGCTAGAGTGCCACGGCATGACCAGGGCCCCAACTCAGCCTGGGACCCCAGCACAGACCCTCAACACACACACACACCTCGCAGTAACGGGACCACAGTGAGCACCACCCATGCTCCCGCTATTTTTTATATTTTAATTGTAAGATGGGTTTCCATGAAAACAAAACAGGCAACAAAAACTCCTGGGCTAAGCAACCACGCGCACCTTGGCCACCAAAGCGCTGGATTATAGGAAACATGAGCCACTGTACCCAGCCAAATTTTTTTTTCCTTGAACAGATTCTACGCTGTCACCAAACACAGCTGGATGCAGTTCACCATCTTGGCTCCACTGCACCTCCGCCTCTCGTTGTGAGTTCTCCGCCGCAGCCTCCCAAGTAGCTGGGACTACAGGCACCCATCACCACGCCTGGTTAATTTTTGTATTTTTAGTAGAGACAGGGTTTTGCCATGTTGGCCAGGCTGGTCTCGAACTCCTGGCCTCGAACTCCTGACCTCATAATCTGTCTGACTTGGCCTCCCGAAGTGCTGGGATTACAGGCACGAGCCGCTGCGCCTGGCCCTAGATTTTTATTTTCCACTCTTTTGCCCAGGCTGGTATGCAGCAGCATGATCACAGCTCACTGCATCCTCCACCTCCTGGGCTCAATCCATCCTCCCAGCTCAGCCTCCCAAGTAGCTGGGACCACAGGCGCACACTACCATGACTGGCTAATTAAAAAAAAAAATTTCTTTTTGTAGAGATGGGGATCTCCCTATGTTGCCCAGGCTGGCCACTACACCTGGCCCCCCAATTTTTTTTTTTTTTTGAGACAGAGTCTGACTCTGTCACCCAGGCTGGAGTACAGCAGCACATCTCAGTTCACTACAACCTCTACCTCGTAGGTTCAAGCTATTCTCCTGCCTCAGCCTCCCTAGTAGCTGGGACTGCAGGCATGTGCCACTATCCCTAGCAAAATTTTGTATTTTGTGTAGAGACAGGGTTTTGCCATGTTGGCCAGGTTGGTCTCGAACTCCGGACCTCAAGTGATCCACCCACCTTGACCCCAGATATTTTAAACCAATATTTTCTCTTATCTTACTTCATACTGGAAATGATGTATGTTATTTCCTGCCTTGCACCAGAGCTCATTGTTCTCTCTTGTTTGCCCACACTCCAGCAAATAGCATACTGTAGCTACCATGGCAAGTGACAGAGTTCAACAGACTTGGTCATGAAAATGTAATCAGAATTTATGGCTGATTTCTTTCTTCCCTGACATCATAAAGTTGGGAAACAGTGAGAACAAAAACAAAGACTTTTCCCCAGTTCTTTCTCCTTGGGCTGGTTAGACAACTTTCTCCACTCAGAGGTCATTATTTGGAATTTGTCATTCTTTTCTTTAACTTTTTTTTTTTTTTTTGGACACAGAGTCTTGCTGTGACACCCAGGCTGAAGTGCAATGGCATGGTCTCGGCTCCCTCCAACCTCCGCCCCCCAGGTTCAAGCCATTCTCCTGCCTCAGCCTCCCAAATAGCTGGGATTACAGGCACGTGCCACCACACTGGGCTAGTTTTTGTAGAGACGGGATTTCACCATGTTGGCCAGGCTGGTCTCAAACTCCTGACCTCAGGTGATCTGCCTGCTTTGGCCTCCCAAAGTGCTGGGATTACAGGCGTGAGCCACTGCATTTGGCCATACTTTCCTTAATTCAGTTCGGTGACATACAACAAATGCATGTTGAAAGCTTATCTTGTGCCAGACACTGTGCCTGGCATTTGTGGTTCAAAGTCAAAACCTTTGTCCTTAAGGAGTTCATAGACTAGAAGAGACGGAATCCTAAGCAAATAATATGATATGAGCTAGACTAGAAGTGTGTACAAACTCTAGAGGAAACGTTTAGTTACGCCTGGGGAAATCGGGAAACCTCTTAAAGGAGAACTAGGCCTTCACCAAATGGGGAAAGGGGACAGGGTTCTAACAATATGCAACTGTACTCTGAAAGGATCACAGAGAGACTGTCCTGAGAAAAGGCTTGCTTTCATGTTGAGCAAAGCTAAAGCAAGAGGATTGCATTTTAAATACTTAAAAAGTTAATTTGTTGTTTTCTTTTTCTTTTTTTTTCATTTCTTCTCTCTCATTACTTACTTCTTGAGGGCTTGGTAAGTACCATTTTAAGGTTAAATGTAATACCCTGTAGACTTCTAATTTAAGACTCAGCCTTACCCCTACAAATGATTTGCTAGTTTTGCTTTTTGTTTTTGAGACTCAAGAAAGACAAGGAAGAATCAATGTTTGAGAATAAGTTGACAAGACTTTACTACCCTGAAGCATTTTTATTAATTGAAATACAGAAACTACTGGTGGCCAACAGTTAAAATAAGGAGTCACTAGTCAGCGAAACTTACAGATACTTTTTTAAAAAAACATTGTTACCTTGCCATCCCCATTATGTGGCTTTTGGATTTTTTTCACTGCCTTAGGCACTTGCCTTTTACTCTTTTGTTTTTGTTTTTGTTTTTTTGAGACAGAGTCTCACCCTATTGCCCAGGCTGGAGTGTAGTGGTGAAAACAAAGCTCACTGCAGCCTCAACCTCCTAGACTCAAGCGATCATCTTGTCCCAGCCTCTTGTGTGACTGGGACCACCATGCCACCATGCCTGGCTAATTTTTTTTTTCTTCGAGACAGGGTCTTGCGAAGCCTTGACCTCTTGAGCTTAAACAATCCTCCCACCTCAGTCACTCAAGTAGCTGGGACTATTGGCATGCACCACCATGCCCAGCTAATTTTTAAAATTTTTTTTGTGGAGGTGAAGTCTCACTATGTTGCCCAGGGTGGTCTTGAACTCCTGGGCTCAAGTGATCCTTTTGCCTTGGCCTCCCAAAGTGCTGCGATTACAGGCATGAGACACCACTCCTGGTGCATTTGATTCTTTTGATTTTGCAGAAGTGGTCTATCGTACATCAAAGGGACTTTGGTGAACCTTAGGAAAGCTGGTTATGAGTTTTAATGCCTCTCTCCACACCCTTATCCCAGATTCTTTTGCAAAATTTGGCTGCACAGAGTAATCAGGAGTTGTGTTATGGTAACTGGCTGTGGAGCATGGCATGTCTTAATTCCTAGAAGGGTATCTTAGCTGAGATAGGTTGTCTCTACCCTAACAAGACCTTTGGAGGGAAAAAAGGCAGTCTTAACAAAAAGCCTCATTGTATTCATATCCTGTTTCCAATGAGGGACAGATAGTTTCTTAAAGAAAACACCCATTTAACAAATTGCCTAGGATGAAATAATTATTCTTACTTTTGAATCTATCATATGAATTGTGTATTTCATTTGGGTTATTGGAAACATCTTATATTTTATTGGTCACGACTGGCTCGAGCAGATTGTTAATGTGCCCTGAGTTTTCCTTTTCCTGCATAACAGACCCAATTGTTTTCTTGCCTTAGAGTGAGCAGGAAAAACAAGAGCGTCTGGAAACCCAAAGGGAGAAGCAGAAAGAACTGATACTGCAGCTCAAGACCCAGCTAGATGACCTGGAAACATTTGCCTATCAAGAGGGCAGTTACGACTCGCTGCCACAGTCTGTGGTGTTGGAAAGACAGCGGGTGAGCAGACCCCAGAGGCACCTCCACCACTGCCCAAGGTTAACTTGTCCCTTCCAGCATTCACAGGGCATCCTCTCTCAGCTCAGTTCTCCTTTGGCCTTACTGAGAATCCCTCTGCTGGCCCAAATCAAAGGGAAATTTTACTACTATAAGGAACCATTCTTTGCTCATACATGGAAAACACAGGTTCCAAAGTTTTGTAATGTAATAATTGAGCTCTTTCTTTTTGGTGGTTGTAATTAATAATAGAAATAAGAATATGGCCGGGCACGGTGGCTCAAGCCTGTAATCCCAGCACTTTGGGAGGCCGAGACGGGTGGATCACGAGGTCAGGAGATCGAGACCATCCTGGGCTTACAACGGTGAAAACCCCGTCTCTACTAAAAATACAAAAAACTTAGCCGGGCGAGGTGGTGGGCGCCTGTAGTCCCCAGCTACTCCGGAGGCTGAGGCAGAGGGAATCGTGTAAACCCCGGGAGGCGGGCGCTTGCAGTGAGCTGAGATCCGGCCACTGCATTCCCCAGCGGCGGACAGAGCGAGGACTCTGTCTCAAAAAAAAGAAATAGAGAATATGACAATAATTTCATTTGATCACTTAAAAAAATTTCTACTTGGGCCCATTATACAATGTAATCTAGCTTTTTTTGTTGTGGTTTTTTTTTTTGTTTTTTTTTTTGAGATGGAGTTTCGCTCTTGTTGCCCAGGCTGGATTGCAATGGCGCCATTTCAGCTCACACAACCTCCGCCTCCCAGGTTCAAGCAATCTTCCTGCCTCAGCCTCCCAAGTAGCTGGGATTATAGGCATGCGCCCACCATGCTGGGGCTAATTTTGTAATTTTTAGTAGAGACGGGATTTCTCCATGTTGGTCAGGATGGTCTCGAACTCCCAACCTCAGGTGATCCACCCGCCTTGGCCCTCCCAAAGTGCTGGGATTACAGGCATGAGCCACTGTGCCTGGCCGTAATCTAGCTTTCTCCTACCTACTGACCACCTTTGATAACATGCCAGGAGATCCAGACTGGTTTTAATACTGTATTTATTTATGTAAGACCTGGGTTAGACAGGTAAATCTGCTGGTGGAGATACAGTTACAACCTCCCCTGCATGTTCTCTACCCCCTGGTGCTGTGGCTTGTTTTTCTGCCGGTCCGGGGAGTTATGTTTGTTCAGATTTTTGGGGGGGGGTTTGTTTTTTTTTTTGGAGGGAACAAAGTCTCAGTTTTGGTCACCCCTAAGGGATGTAGTATAAACGTTGCCGGATGGATCTTGGGCTTTGACTTGCAAACCTCCGCCTCCAGGGTTCAAGTACGGATTCTCCTTGCCTCAGCCTTTCCCGAAGTGTAGCTTGAGATACCTAGGCGCCTGGCCACCATGGCCGGCTAACTTTTGTATTTTTTTAGGTGAGAGATGGGATTTTCACCCAGTTGGCCAGGATGGTCTCTTGAGCTCCCTGATCCCCTCAAATTGATCCACCCGCTCTGGCCTCCCAAGGAGTGCTGGGATTGGCTGGGCACCGGTGGCTCCAAGCCTGTAATCCCAGCCACTTTTGGAGGCCGAGACGCGCGGATCACGCGGAGGTCAGGGAGATCGGAGGACCATTTTCCTGGGCTAATACGGGTTGAAAACCCCGTCCTCTACTAAAATACAAAAAAAACTAAGCCGGGGCGAGGGCGGGCGGCCTTGTAGTCCCAGCTACTGGCGTGGCTTGAGCAAGGGGGCAGAATGGCGTAAACCTGGACGGCGGGAGCTTGCAGTGAGCTGAGGAATCCGGGCCACTGCCACTCCAGAGCCTGGGTGACAGAGCAAGACCCTTCCATCTCAAAAAAAAAAAAAAAAAAAAAAGTGCTGGGATTACAGGTGTGAGCCACTGCACCCAACCTATTATCAGAATTTTAAATTGTTCCTAATAATGTCACTAGGGTATTTTGCACCTTGATATTTTATAGAGATTTTTCTTTAGTTGCCTACAGTAGGACAAGAAGGGATAAGAAGGATTAGAAATTAAGAAAAATTGGCCAGGCACAGTAGCTTACGCCTGTAATCCCAGCACTTTGAGAGGCCGAGGCGGGCATATCACAAGGTCAGGACATCAAGACCATCCTGGCTAACATGGTGAATCCCCGTCTCTACTTAAAATACAAAAAATTAGCTGGGAGTAGTGGCGGGCGCCTATAGTCCCAGCTACTCAGGAGGCTGAGGCAGGAAAATGGCGTGAACCCGGGATGTGGAGCTGGCAGTGAGCCAAGATTGCACCACTGCACTGTAGCCTGGGTGACAGAGCGAGACTCCATCTCAAAATAAATAAATGAATAAAAGTAAGAAAAATCGGCTGGGTGCAGTGGCTCACGCCTATAATCCCAGCATTTTGGGAGGCTGAGGTGGGAGGATCTCTTGAGGCCAGAAATTTGAGGCCAGCCTGGGCAACATAACAAGACCCCGTCTCTACGAAAAATTGAAAGATTAACCAGGTGGTAGCGTGTGTCTGTAGTCCCACCTATGGGGGAGACCAAGGCAGAAGGATTGCTTGAGCACAGGAGTTTGAGGTTACAATAAGCTATGATCACATTACTGGACCCTAGCGTGGGTGACTGAGCAAGACCCTGTCTCTTAAAAATCAGTGTATATTCTCCTTGAATGAAGCCTTTAGAGCAACTAAGTATAAGGCTTGTTGGATCATCAGCCACTTTGGATTTTTCATACTGTTGTTCTTCTGAGTGAAATCTGACTAGCCTGGTAGAAATTTACTGTGAGTGGGAGGATCCATTTTTATCAGAGAACTAAGGGTTCCTTTTACTTTAAAAGTAGAGAGTCTGTGTCCTCACCTTGATCAATCAGTAGTTAAGTCATTTTCTTTCACAAATTTAGAGGTCTGTTTTTTTACTTCCATTTAAGGACAGAAGACATATTTAGATTCTCCTCCCTAACCCTCTCCCTAAAAATTTCCAAAGGGTGTGCTCATTGCCTGTGATCTTGATAGGTGATCATAGATGAGTTAATAAAGAAACTGGACATGAATCTGAATGAGGACATCAGTTCCCTGTCCACTGAAGAGCTTCGTCAGCGCGTAGATGCAGCAGTGGCTCAGATCGTCAACCCAGCCCGAGTCAAAGAACAGTTGGTTGAGCAACTAAAAACTCAGATCCGAGACCTCGAGATGTTCATCAACTTCATCCAAGGTTGGACGTCATAATAATTATATTCTGAGTACTAGTAAAAAGGTGCCAATTCTGGGTTTTTTTTTTTTTGGAGACAATGTTTCGCTCTGTTCCCCTGGCTGGAGTGCAGTGGCGCAATCTTGGCTCACAGCAACCTCCAGCGCAATCTTGGCTCACAGCAACCTCCGCCTCCCAGATTCAAGCGATTCTCCCGCCTCAGTCTCCCGAGTAGCTTGGATTACAGGCTCCCGCCACCACGCCTGGCTAATTTTTGTATTTTTAGTAGAGATGGGGTTTCAGTCTCTACTAAAGAGAGTAGAGACTGTTGGCCAGGCTGGTCTCGTACTCCCGACCTCAAGTGATCCGCCCACCTCAGCCTCCCAAAGTACCGGGACTACAGGCATGAGCCACCACGCCCGGCCAAAAGTTGCCAATTCTTGATGTACTGTTTAAGAGGCTTGATGGCTTAGTAGGGGAAACAGCATTGGCAGTGTAGAAAGAGCATGGGTTTCAGAATCAGATAGTTAAAAGCTCCACTCTCCTACTCATTGGTTTTATGTCGTTGAGCATGTTACTAACCTCTTTAGTCTTACTCTTCTCATCCATAAAATGATTCATGGTTCATTCACTTAGCAAATATTTATTGAGCCAACTACTGTATGCCAGTCCTCATTTTACACAATTAAATAGGACAAGATTTTGTGAGATTCTTGTTTGTAATAGGCACCGTTAAGTATTATTTTTCCTTTAAAGATCTGCCATAAAGAGCTAAATAAGTGACTCTCCTATAATTTCTGATTCCAGATGAAGTGGGAAGCCCCTTGCAGACAGGTGGTGGACACTGTGAGTGCAAGGCCGGTGGGAAGACAGGAAATGGCTGCAGCAGAACAGGCAGCAGCAGACCGCCTCCAGGAGACAGCAGAAGTAAGTGTAATTTCCAGAACAGGCAAATCTCTAGAGACAAAGTAGATGAGTGGTTGCCTGGGGCTTGGGTATGCTGAGGAGAAGAGGGAAATGAGAAATGCTGATGGTATGGAATTGCTTTTGGGGAGGATGAAATATTCTAAAATCGATTGCAGTGACAGTTATACAATTCTGAATATACTAAAAACCACTGAATTAAACACCTTAAATGGGTGAATCATATGGTATGTGAATTATATCTCAATACAGTTATTATTAACCAAAAAAAGGAGGCCCAGCTACATCCTGGGTGGCTCTTGCCTTCATGTGAGACCCAGCATGTGGCTCAGACTGATCTCAGCCTGAGATTTGTTGAATGTAGCTCCATGCCATCATGGCCTCTCACTAATGAACCATTGTCTTTTCTAAGCAGCAAAGGCGGAGGATGTGAAGAAAGTCCGGGAGACAGGGCTGCACCTGATGAGGCGAGCGCTGGCAGTGCTCCAGATCTTTGCTGTTAGCCAATTTGGTTGTGCCACAGGCCAGATCCCTCCAACCCTGTGGCAGAGGGGCCAGGCTGACCGAGACTACTCTCCCTTGCTAAAGAGGCTGGAGGTGTCAGTGGACAGAGTGAAGCAGCTAGCCTTGAGGCAGCAGCCACACGACCATGTCATCACCTCTGCCAACCTCCAGGACCTCTCTCTGGGAGGCAAGGATGAGCTGACTATGGCTGTGCGGAAGGAGCTGACGGTGGCTGTAAGGGACCTGCTGGCCCATGGACTGTATGCCTCCTCCCCAGGGATGAGTCTTGTTATGGCTCCTATTGCTTGTTTGCTGCCAGCCTTCTCCTCGGCCCCTGAGGCCATGCACCCCTGGGAGCTCTTTGTAAAGTACTACCATGCTAAGAACGGCCGTGCTTATGTGGAATCCCCAGCCCGGAAGCTCTCCCAGTCCTTTGCCCTTCCTGTTACGGGAGGCACTGTTGTGACCCCCAAACAGAGCCTGCTGACAGCCATCCACATGGTGCTGACAGAGCACGACCCTTTTAAGCGCAGTGCAGACTCAGAATTGAAGGCCTTGGTGTGCATGGCACTGAATGAGCAGCGTCTGGTGTCCTGGGTGAACCTCATCTGCAAGTCTGGGTCACTCATCGAGCCTCACTACCAGCCCTGGAGCTACATGGCACACACAGGCTTTGAGAGCGCCCTCAACCTGCTCAGTCGCCTCAGCAGCCTCAAGTTTAGCCTCCCTGTAGATCTGGCTGTGCGCCAGCTCAAAAACATCAAAGATGCCTTTTGATAAGAGTGCCCTAACCCCAGACAAGCTCCTTGCTCAGTAGAGATAGATGTGTTAGTCTTCCAGCATAGGAGCAAGGAATCAAAGGTGGGGTTAAAGGCTTTTTTGCCAGACCCTGCTCAGGCAGTTGGCCAAATGAGTGCAAAGTCTGTTTTACCCACCAACTTAGCATCTCGGAAAGATGTGCTGGAGAGACCCTCTTGTTAAGAAGGTTCTACCAGACCGGGCACGGTGGCTCACACCTGTAATCCCAGCTACTCAGGAGGCTAAGGCCGGAGAGTCGCTTGAGCCCAGGAGGTGGGGGTTGCAGTGAGCCGAGATTATGCCACTGCACTCTGTCTGGGCAACACAGGGAGACTCCATCTCAAAAAAAAGAAGACATTCAACTTGAGGCTCCTGTTAGTTGAGCTATCTTCTTTCACTTGAAGCAGGTTTGAGAGGCCAAGGCCAGAATTTAAGTTCCTTTTATGAATAGATTTCCTTTTCTTCCTGACCCCAAGGTCAGAGGAGACTGTATATTCCATTTCTGCCTCTAAGACTAGGAATAGGAATATCTGAAACAACATTTCTAAGGGTGGTGACCACAGGTTGATTTTAATACGAGCCTTTTTTCTTGTAGAGGTAAGAAGTAAAATCTTCCTGGCCGGGCGCGGTGGCTCAAGCCTGTAATCCCAGCACTTTGGGAGGCCGAGACGGGCGGATCACGAGGTCAGGAGATCGAGACCATCCTGGCTAACACGGTGAAACCCCGTCTCTATTAAGAAATACAAAAAAACTAGCCGGGCGAGGTGGCGGGCGCCTGTAGTCCCAGCTACTCGGGAGGCTGAGGCCAGAGAATGGCGTGAACCCGGGAGGCGGAGCTTGCAGTGAGCTGAGATCCGGCCACTGCACTCCAGCCTGGGCGACAGAGCGAGACTCCGTCTCAAAAAAAAAAAAAAAAGAAGTAAAATCTTCCTGACAAGGTAGTCCTCACGGCACAGACAATGGGCTTTCTGTTTATGAGGGGTGAGAACCGTGTTCGTTATTATGTTCTTTAGCAAGTAAATATTCCTCTGCTCACCTCCCAACAAGACTAACACAGTCTTTAGAAGTAAATATATTCAAGACAAACGAGAAAATCCTGGCTACCCAAGTCGAGTATGTACAGGAATACAAATCGGTAACCAGCAGCTGTTCCTCAGGTTGTGACTCACTGGGCACCACTTGTCCTGGAGGCTGGATGATGGAGGACATCTGGTTATAGGTACTGCAGCGGAGATAGGTGCCACAGGAGGATAGGAACTACAGCAGATCACTGTTTCCAGAACAGGGGGAGGAGTATCTCATTGTGAAATAGACTCTAGAGTGGTTCTATTTGGTCTTCAGTATTTTAGCCTCATTAGTTCACATTTGTCATGCAGCTTGTGGTGAGTACTGCTCTAGGACTGGCCAAAGATGGGCAAAATGGATCACTCCAGACACTACTAATTCAGCATTGTTTTCATGTCTTAAAATTGCCACCTGCACTTTGTTTCTGCACTATTATGTAGTGCATTTTAACTTAAATTTTTTCCAGCAACATGTTACTTATTTAAGATACATTATTGATACTTCATTATAATTAGTACACCTTCCCTGTGAAACAAGAGAATTGTAAAATGTTGTGGAAAATGATACCTATGTGGATGCTAATGAAATCGTAGTATTTCCTGTAGCTTCTCTGAAGACCTTAGAGACCTGCAGCTTTGGTTTGTAAATGTTTGGGCCTTATCAGCCCATCTGATCCAGATCAATTTTTTTTTAAAGCTGCCTATATCCTCTATCCTCTGCGATGGATCATCTCACCTTTGGTGGTGGTAGTAGGGGTTTTTTGCCTGAAAAAGTTAACTAAAAAGTCCCCTTGGCATGACCATCCCCTCCTGCCCACGCCCATAGTGCCTCCCCACAACAGATGTCACACATGCTGCTTTTGGAATTGGCACTGTTTTTGTTTTGTTTTGTTTTGTTTTTTTGAGACAGAGCCTCGCTCTGTTGTCCAGGCTGGAGTGCAATGGCGCGATCTCAGCTTACTGCAACCTCTGCCTCCTGAGTTCAAGCAGTTCTCCTCCCTCAGCCTTCTGAGTAGCTGGGATTACAGGCGCACACCACCATGCCTGACTAATTTTTGTTTTTTGTTTTTTGTTTTTTTTTTTTGAGACGGAGTCTCACACCGTCCCCCAGGCTGGAGTGCGATGGCGCAGTCTCAGCTCACTGCAACCTCCGCTCCTCCCGGGTTCAAGCAATTCTCCTGCCTCAGCCTCCTGAGTAGCTGGGATTGCAGGCACCCACCACCACGCCCAGCTAATTTTTGTATTTTTAGTAGAGATGGGGTTTCACCATGTTGGTCAGTCTGGTCTTGAACTCCTGATCTCAGGTGATCCACCTACCTTGGCCTCCCAAAGTGCTGGGATTATAGGTGTGAGCCGCCGCACCTGGCCAGGATTGGCACTTTTAAATCCACTTGTCTGGATATCAGTTAGGGTGGGTGGTAACTGGTATAGCCATATGGCATAGCCCAGCGATCACCCCAGTATTGTCTTTTTCAAATACAAAAACAAAACTTGTATTAAGGCCTTATGCTAGCATTACAGGAAGCATTTTCATTTGTCTCATTCTAATTTAATTCTCACTACTTACAAGGTGGGACAGTATTATCCCCACTTTACAGCTGAGGAAACTGAACTGCAGAGAGGTTAAATATTCTGTCCCCGTTTACATGATGATGGAATTCCTGAGATTTGGAGTCAAGTTTCCTGAATCCAAAGCCCATAGTCTATCTTGTCACTTCATTGTATCATGTTGTTTCTAGATTTTGGTTCCTCTTTCTCCTTTATCCACCACCCTCATTCCTACCTTCACTATGGGCAGGAGAAGGTATTTTCCACACAATTGCCAGAAATTTCAGCTCCGAAAGGACTATACTGCAGGGAGACAGGCAGGCAGCCATGACTTTGATGTCCAAGTTCTTGAAACCTAAATGTGTGTATCAACTGAGACAATTCCAACAATTCCATCAGCATCCCTGCAGTCAGATATCTGCTAAGTTCTGATATAATCTGTCATTACTGGGAACAGCTCTGTCCTTGGCTTAGGGTGAGACAGGACAAGGGAGGAGAGACAGGCCAGTCCACCCATATCCAAGGATACGCAAGAATGGAAGGGTAAAGAGCCATGGATATGTATGCAGGGGAAGTGTAGGGTGTGTTGTACAAGTATGATCTGCGAAGTATTGTTAAAGCTGTTTAAGGTGCTCTCCAATCATTCATTCACTATTGATCACTTAGCAACTGCCTGCCCAGGCTAGATGCTAAAGAAACAGGTAAG